GGGGCCTGAGATTGTACAGGTTCTAAAATCCTAACAGGTTCCTGGTATTGCTGTTGCTACTCTGGGAACTGTGGTTTGAGAATCACTGTTTTGGAAGTTATATTTGGATATCCTAAATCCAGTTAAGGTTACATATAGTTAGGGGGTCTTTTAATTCTTGTGTTTTGTTTTGCTTTGCTTTGCTTTTTAAATTTCCCATTCCAAACCAAAGCCTCAGAACCATTATATACTTTCATTAGGGCTGAAGTCCCGAGTTATAATTGTACTTAAAATTGGTGTTTGATGACTTAAAAAGGGTATTCCGCCATTCACCGAACAATTTTACTTCCCTTCAGTGGAGATGTATTTCCTTAATACAGGAGAAGCAGATGCAGTAGCATATATTTCTAAGAAGAGATAACGATGGCAGAGTTTTCTGGGTTGATTACAAAAACTGGGGATCATCTAAATCTCCAAGCATCCCAAAGTGAAAGTTTTGTAATTTGAAAAGAGATAAAATTATGCAAAGCACGTGCTATGGGGACTTGTTCGACATTTTCTAATCCTAAAATCTTTTCAGGAGCTGCTTTTTACTTTTATGCTACTTTTCATAAATTTCATTTTTTTAGCCTTTATTGCTTTAACCAGAAGCTTTTACATTTTGGACTTGGAAAAGAATTTCTGACTCCATGAGGAATTATTTTTCATACTTAACAGTGTTTGATATTGTAGATAAAATGTCATACTTTAAAAAACCCATTCTAAGTTAGTCTGCCTCTGTGACTGAATGGCCTTTGACATTAAGAAGAATATGAGAAGGAGGGCATACACAAAGGAACTTACTCTAACAGAAAGATTTTTACTATTTGTTTGATTATTTTGGCAAGTTTCTAAAACACATTACAGATCTTTTCAATCTCTGGATATTCAGTTAATATAAACTTTGAATAGCTCTGAGAGTATTATTTCTGATGCTTATTTATGACAAAACCAAAGCAAATAAATGTTGGTATTTCTCCTTTGGGGCACCTATCAAGCCCTCCTCTATATCTATATTGGAAAAACATTGAAGGATTTGCTTTGTTATTATGTGCTTTAAAAATATGGTCTTTCAGAAGATGAAAATAAAGAATCATGTCCAAGAACAATATGACACTTTATTACTTTTTCTCAGACTCACACAAATAAGAAAAGACCAACTGGTTAAATACATCTTTGACTCTATGCCTAAATCCTACCCAGAGAAGATCTAGAGATCTTCCCAAGCCAACATTTGGAGGGAGAAGAGGCACTCACTCATGCTAATCAGAAACTCTGCTATCAGACTCAGCCATTCAGATTTCTTAGTGGATGGTATTTAGGTACTCTCAAATAGATTTCTCTAAAATATAATGAATCGTTTAATTTTACAGCAGGCCATAAGATCACTTCTTTTACGAAACGAGGCTGAGAAATGTTACTATTTAAAGAAAGTTTCAACAGAAGGACCACTGCCTCTTAAAAATAAAACCAAACCAAAACAAACAAAAACTTATCTAGTTGGCTTTCTTCTGGATGAAATCCCTACCATAGTCAATCTAACGTAAAATCCTCTGTGACATTGTAACTCTTTGAAAGCATTCTTCTGTTGCTTTCTGGTTATTTCTTTCACTCATTTGCCAGGCAATCTGTCCCCCATCCGACTCTGCCTGTCCAAATTCCAGCCACAACTTTTTGAGCTACAGGCTCCAACGTTATCATCTATCTTTCTCTGCTCAAACATTCGACCAGTGTAGTTGATTTCAGATAGGGATTCTTGCATGAAACAATTGGATAAAAATTATTTCATATTAAAAGGTGATATATTGGCAGGCAAAACCCCTCCGGGAGGAACGAGTACCCTAAGAGGAGTGGAAAAAGGGGCAACCTAAATTGGAGTCAGTGTACTGTGTTAGTGGGGCATTTCTTAAGCCCCCGTAGAATATTTCTGAAGGGAATGCAAGCAGCTTTGCCTACATAGACTGGAACTTTGAGAAGAGGAACATTGACACATATCTATTGCTTCTCAACAGATTCTGTTGACCTGAGACCATCTTTTTTAAAAACAAAGTAACTAATTCAAGTTACTTAAAGCAATGAGATACCTGTATTCCTCAGCAATGCTTTAAAAATGTAATTTTTATAAGGAGTACAGAAGCTCGAATTGCCAGCAAAATGCAAGGGTAGTCGTTTTGAAGAAAAGTTAATTTTTATTTAACTTTCCTAAATTATGTACTCACTGTCATAAACTCCTTGTTTCAGATTAAGTGGATTATTTATTTGTGATAATGGGCACATATACTCATTAACATGCTGTCATAAACAGCTGCATTCAATGTATTATGTGTTCTGTGACATAAATAAGGTGTTCGACATGACATTGTTTAAAATATAGGCCCCGGGAAGAACCAAAAAGCAATAAATGCTTTTTAATACAGTTGCGTGGTCTTGAATTCTAAATTTATTTCTACCCTACTAATGTCACTTGTATGGAAATTGCAGTATTACTCTAGTGAAATATCTTGACATTCAAGGACATTGGAACTCCTCTCTGCTTTCCCATCCTTGGTATCTCAAGCGAGGTGTTCACTGACTTGTGTTTCTTTTCTTATAAAGGAGGGTGTCATGTAGACATGGGGGAGTCATTTACAGCAACATCAGTTTGCATCTCAGTAAGCTCAGAGCAGGACTCTCTTGATGGATGCCTTCAACTCATCCTAGCTCTGAGAGTTTCCAAACTAGATGTTAAAATTTAGAGATTGTTTAGTTCAATGCCCTCACTTTACAGATGAAGGAACTGAGGATTTGAAATTCTGAGGATTTAAAAGACTTATTTGAGTCATGGATCTTTACGTGGTAATGCCAGGACCAAGAGCTAAATATCCAGACCCCCAATCTGATCTAATTCTCCCTAGAAAAATGGGCAGTAAAAAGTAAGTTGGCTACACTAAGATGATTGGGGGGTTAGGAGGAGCTTCATGGGCAGTGAGGGGGCTAGGCTGTATCTTTTGAGATTTTTTACCAATTTCACTTCTGGTAGACTTAACTGCTCACTGCAATTTTATAATTTATATTAATCTGAGCAAAGTTCTGGCTGCTTTCTTTGGGTGAATGGTCTCATTGGATGAGAGGAGTGTATGAGGGTAAATGCTGCAGTTCACTGGGAGAAGTTCAACAGAGGAGCTAGATAAGAGGCTTCAGATAGAAGGCTTAGAAAAATTGGGTAGGACAGGTAACATTGCAGAGAAACAGTGAGAAACTGTCCAGCTTTTATCTTTGCTAGAAAGTGGGAATATACAAAGTTAAGAAAGAATCTGTCCATTGGAGCTAGGATGGACCAATCCTTTAAGAGAATATTGATGACGGGCAATTTAGATGACTGCCTTTTAAATGATAGAAAACTAGAAAGTTTACAGAAAGTACACACACACACATAATGTTTCCATCACAGAAAAATTAAGGAAGCTAATGAAGTTGAGGTCATTATCCTGAAACACATGAAGGCTAAAACATAATTTAGGTGGTATTTTTAGAGAAATTAAATGCTTCAGAAGAATAAAGGGCTCTTAAAAAGAAATGTCCATCTCCTCCGTGTTTTCACACAAAGCAATTCAGAACAAAATTTGAGATTAAATAGAAGCAAAAAAATTCAGTTACTCTAAGAACAGTTAAATATTAAAAACAAGATACCAAGGGCCATTGTAGAATCCTTAGCCCCAGAGATGGTTAAAAAATGAAATTAAAAGTAATTCAACTCGAAAGATTTAGGCATACACTTGTTTGAGCAGAGGGTGAGCCCAGTGACCTCCAAAAACCTTGCCAAAGCCTATGATTCAACAACCAAGCATTCTGCTAAATGCTATTTTGTGAGCCCTGAATATAATATACTTTAACTAATTATACTTAGTTCACCCCCTCAGGATTCTTCAATGACTTTCTCTTCCTCCTGTCGATTTCTTATGTTCATTTATGTTTACAGGAAAAAAAAAAAGAGAGAGACCAAATATAATATAATATTCACTTAGATTTCCTGGCTCATGAGCAACATTCAGGTGGAAATTAAGACACTTCAGGGATTTCTGATTATAGGTAGTGGCATTATTGACTTGCTTCTGCAAGTGGGGATTTGTTACCCATTTTAAAACTCACCAGAGCTTTGTTCTAAATGACTTTCTTTATGGTGTTCAGTTGATTTTTGTTCTTGTTGTTGTTAATGAAATGACATATCTGAGTAAATTTTTTTCAAAAAAATTAATGGGTGCAAAATGCAGAGATAGAAAATGTCCCCCAGTTTAGGGGTAGGAAGGAATAAATGTAACAAGATGGGATCAGGAGGGAGACAAACCATAAGAGACTCTTAATCTCGCCAAACACACTGAGGGTTGCCGAGGGGAGGGGGTTTGGGAGAGGGTGGTGGGGTTATGGGCATTGGGAAGGATATGTGCTATGGTGGGTGCTATGAAGTGTAAACCTGATGATTCACAGACCTGTACCCCTGGGGCTAATAATACATTATATGTTAATTAAAAAATTTTTTTTAAAAAAGTCCCCCAAATCCTAGGGGACTACTACTGCTTCTCCACTACTAAGCATTGTTACTTTAAAATATCTAGTTTTATTTGGAAAATATTAGCTTTTTCTGTCTATATATTTAAGCTTATATATAGACTTATATATTGACTTATAAGTGGTGATGGCCATACTTAGATTTGTATGAATTTTTAATTTCTCACATTATTACTTTTTCGGTCAATTGTTTCATTAATTTGGTTAGCTCAACTGGGGTGTTTTTGTTTGTTTGTTTTGTTCCTTTAACAGAATATAATTTATTCTTTGATATTTTTCAAAGACCCCTGCTGTTTTGAAAAGTTTTTTAAAGAAGAAGCAGAATATGAAAGCCTGTGATCCCTTTGATTAAGTGAACATATTTATTTCCCTCTTGCTTTCTTGCTCCAGGTTTCCAGATTAAGCCTTTCACATCACTACGCTTCCTGTCGGAGCCTTCCGATGCTGTCACCATGCGGGGAGGAAATGTCCTCCTGAACTGCTCTGCGGAGTCTGACCGGGGAGTCCCGATGATCAAGTGGAAGAAAGATGGCGTCCACCTGGCCTTGGGAATGGATGAAAGGAAGCAGCAACTTCCAAATGGCTCTCTGTTGATACAAAACATACTTCACTCCAGGCACCACAAGCCCGATGAGGGACTTTACCAATGTGAGGCATCTTTAGGAGATTCTGGGTCGATCATTAGTCGGACAGCAAAAGTTGCTGTAGCAGGTAAGTGGATTCTTCCTTTTTCTCCTCCTCCTTCTCCAACTCTTCTTATTCCTCTTTTTGGGAATAAGGGAATTATCTTTATAGAAAAAGTATGCATTTTTAGGATAAGGGAACAATGTAAAGAAGATAAATGCATATTCCCTTTTCATTTTGACTTACTTTCTCCTTAATTGCTTGGAAAACAGTGGAAGGATCTGAGCAACCATTCTGAAAATGAGGTTTTTCAGAAACAAAGACTGTCTCAAGTTGATATACTACTTGTGTCTGTGGGGAGGACTTTTCATTAGTTGAAAATATTAGGAAAAATGATTTTCTAATTAATTCCATTTTAGAGAATCACTAATCCTGACATTTTGCAGAGCTTTTTTCCCCCTTTTTCTTTCTTTCTTTTTTTTTTTTTCCTTCAGAGCAGTGTATTTTGTTTTAATGATAATGGCTTGAACTGCAACATATAGATTTCCAAATGAGAAATAACAATTTGCAATTAAACCAAGAGGGCAAACATTTGATATGGGCTTCTTTTCCCAGGTCCCATTTTGTCTAAAATATAGAATACTGATAAGAATGAAGACTCATTTTCAGCAATAACATGTGCTAGGACAATGGACAGGACCACCACTCCAGCACTCATTCTTCTACCGAGGGTGCGAGGAAGTTAAAATCTACAAGAGATGTTCTTGTCAGGTGACAGCATAGAAAATCAGATACTGCAGATATTGCCTACTGATATGCATTCAGTCCAGAAATCCGGTTTCATGCCACAAAAGAGTGTCACAAACCAGCCTAGCCTATGCCTGAGCAAAAATGTCTTGGATAGGGGGCAAGTCTTCACCTAGAGAGACAGTGGCCAACCATCCGGTTTTAACCAGGACTGGCCTGGTTTTAGCATTTGAAAGTACCATCATGCCCTAAGAACCAAGCCCTCAGTCTCAAGGAAAACTTGAATGGTCTGTTGACCCACCTGGTGGTGTCCTGACTGCTTTAGCAGTGACAGGCCAAAGCACAGTTGCAGAAAGTCCTTGTTACTCAGGAAGCACATGAGGTGGCATTCTGATCATGCAAACCAAGGCTATCAGCCCCCTGGGTCCTTTGAGTGATGGATGCCTGGAATTTGATTGATGAGCGTAAAGTGTAGAGAGGACTGAAAGTCTATATTAATTATGATTGATTAAAAGGAACAAGTGGAATAAACGCTGAGGATTAAGGTAAGATCCGCTTTGCCAGGATATTCCAAGTGAAGTGGAAAGGGTGCAATTCGATTTTTCTAGCGTAAGAATTTCTGGCCCTTCAGATCCCACCCATTCGTCACCCATGCTGCTAAGGTAGTTCTGCAGATTTGAATGAGCTAGGCTGGTGTTTCGACAGTACTAAAAGGCAGATGCATATGTGCTGTTAATGAAAATGACCTGATTTATTGTGGTTTCCGTTTCCCTGCAATCTAGATTCACTTTTACCTGCTCTGTTTCAATGGTGAAATGAAGAATGATCCCTTCCCTGTGAGATATTAAAACAAAGTAGCTTCAACTTTCCTATTCTGTAGAAGGATGGGTTGGCAGATTCAGTCACTGAGTTACAATCTAATATTAGATTGTATCATTTCAAGGCAATAAGGCTGTTCACAGCATTTTAAACACTTACCATGCTGTTTGGCAACACAGCATACATCAATGTTATGTCTGTCCAGGTTAAGATTGCCAAACCACTGGAATACACAAGGGGTATATATCTTCCTTGTAATAAAGACCATGGGCTTGATTTAATCTCATTTTTAAAGCATTAGCAGTCAATAAACCAGTCACCGCTAAAAGGTAACAGTCAGCTTTGCGTGAGTGAAAAAACAAAACAAACAAAAAAACCCACCAAAAAACCTGTTTTGTACCCTCAAGTGTGGTGTAGAGTCCATTTAAAATAATAATGCCTCTCTTCCACCTTTTGCTTTCTCAAAGTGTCTTTCAGGAGAAAGAAATGTGGCAAATGAAATCTGTCTTTAATCAATCAGAACATTACGTACCGTGCTCTTGCCATGCACCATTCATCCAATTTTCTAGGAACTTCTCGCATGCTCTTCAAACTCTTAAACTTAACTGTACTCTTAGCTGAAGCCGGAGGAGGGGAGTAGGAAAGATAAACCAAGGGCTACCATCCGTCTAACATCTTATTAAAAGTCTCAGTATAGGGTGCCTGTGTGACATGGTTGAGCTTCCAACTCTTGATTTTGGCTCAGGTCATGATCTCAGTGTTGTGAGATGGGCCCCCCAGTGGTGGGCATGGAGCTTGCTTAAGATTCTCTCTCTAGCTCTCCTTCGGCCCCTCCCCACCTCTCTCCCTCTCTTTAAAAAAAAAAAAAAAAAAGTTCTCAGTGTAACAAGTTATTGTCTATTGGCATTCCTGAGAATTGCAAGTTCTATCAGTAAGGGCTATTATTCCATTTGAAAGCAGCTTGGCCTGTATTGGCTGAAACTGGGGAATTTTTTTTTTTTTTTTAAGATTTTTATTTATTTATTTGACAGAGAGAGATCACAAGCAGGCAGAGAAGCCGGCAGAGAGAGAGGAGGAAGCAGGCTCCCTGCTGAGCAGAGAGCCCGGTGCAGGGCTCGATCCCAGGACCCTGAGATCACGACCTGAGCCGAAGGCAGCGGCTTAACCCACTGAGCCACCCAGGCACCCCATGAAACTGGGGAATTTTTATTTGTATCCAGTAAGCTCTAGTCTAAAATGGTGCAGTATTTCTCTGCCATGGATATTTCTGTTTAGCATTCTAGATTGAGACTTTTAAAAAGAGAACCAGAGACAAACTTTATCTGCAAAGCTTCTCCTTCCCATCCCCGCTCTCTACCTACCAGAGTGTTGGGCATGTTTCGTACTTATTCATTAGCTATTTGCTTTGCCAGTGAACACATGGAGCTATGCCATATATGGAGAGGTTTCCATTGTAGGGGAGTAAGAATTTCTGTCCCTTTCAAGGGTCCATCTACCTGGACTAAGAACCAGATTGACATAGAACAGATTAACAGGAGAAAATAGAATTTAATAGCATGCATACAGACATGGAAATTCCAAAGACACACAGACAAAATGAGGTATCTACATCATTCTGAACTAAGGAGTAGGGGTTGTGCTTTTGGATTTCAGAAAAAAGGAATGCATTTCACAGGGCAATAAGAGGAAGAAGTTTGGTAATTAGAGGTTTGCCCTGCCATATGGATGGCAAAAATTTTCAAATAAAATTTATTTCCACTGATAATCCTTGTTCTGGGGGAAGACCTCCAATTTAGATTACTCTGTATAGTTAAGAGGGGGGCAAAAGTTTCTCTTGAGCCCCTGGGGTCTCTACTGCTTTCTGGGCAGAATAAGAATAATCTTCATGATACAGTGGTCCGTGATGGAGTAGCTTGACCTTGGCTACTCAACTGTCAGCGTCATCTTTGTTTTCCTCCTCCTCCTCCTCGACTTCGCTCTCTCTTCCTTCCTTTCTTTTTTTTTTTTTTTGAGCTTGATGAGATTAAACAACTACTTGATGGACAGAGTTGGAGTGATTTTCTTTATATCTCAGTAGTTGATAAATTATTGGAATAATTTGATTTATATCTCAGTAGTCTATAAAGTAATTAACTATTGAGGACTTTGGAAGTAGAAATGGACTGTGCTGGGATATTGATAGGCTACTTAAAAAAATAAAAAAGGCATGTGCCAATTCCTCATTCCTTCTGAAATCCATAACATCAAGATGAGCATGGACATGGCCAAGCACATTTTCCCTACTCCAGATGTTGCCAGCTATCTGAGCCTCTGGATTCTCTTCTGTAAAATCGACATAACAATAACCTACCTCCTAAGGCTGTGCTGGCTTTTATTTTTTATTTTATTTTTTTTAAAGATTTTATTTATTTATTTGACAGAGAGAGATCACAAGTAGACAAAGAGGCAGGCGGAGAGGGAGAGAGGGAAGCAGGCTCCCTGCCGAGCAGAGAGCCCGATGCGGGACTCGATCCCAGGACCCTGAGATCATGACCTGAGCTGAAGGCAGCGGCTTAACCCACTGAGCCACCCAGGCGCCCCTGTGCTGGCTTTTAAATAACATTTAGCATGTAAAGCCCTGGTACAGAGTAATTTCTTATTCAATGGCAGCAGTAATGGTACAAATTGACCTAAAATGGATGTTATGATGTTACTGAAATTAGTATTATTAGGGAATGACAACTTTGAATATTCCTTGTGATGATTCAGAACATTTTTGGAGGAATTAGGAGAAAAAGAAATATAGGCTACAAATCGTGAGCTATCAATATTGTCATCTTGGATCAGATATCTGCTTTTGCAATCTACAAGCACACACTGGCAAGCCTGAATTGAGTTTTTAAAAGTTGAATCTATGCAGTTTGTTGGCAAGCTGTGCCAAAATCTGTTTGACTACAAGGTTCATTTTTCACAACTTAATCTAGTGTTCTGTCCATGAAGCCAATGTAATTTGTACTGGTCAAACCAGGAGTTCTAGATCATGAAACTGCTGTTATCATTTCAGAAAAAGACGCTGGTCAGTCTTCTCAACGGAGCCTTCTTACTGTCCTTCCAACTGAAAAAGATTCACTGAAGCTGAGTTCACGGGAGTTTTGGTCTAGTCTGAGAGTTTATCATAACCCCCTCTTCTCTGGGGGAGAGGGGAGTCAATGCCAGTGTGTAAGAAAACCATATCACTGCCAAGCTCCACTGCATAATCATGAAAGTACCATCTTGTTTATTTTCCTTAATATTAATCCCTCCCATCTGCCACCCACACACCCACCCAACCACCCAGCTCCTTGCCCACTCACTTCCCCTGCTGGGCTATGAGGATCACAGCTGGAACCCAAGTACAAACTCTCCTTGTATTTACTCTCTTGGGGGATGCACTGGGATCTGCTCCTCCTCAGGTAAATGGACACTGATTGCAGGATACGTCATACATCATAGAGCATCTGTATCCAGGTAGATTCTTCTTTTGTTAATTTTTAAGCATTTAC